CTCACCTTATGGTACCCGGGATAGGCTGTGAGCCTGAATTGGATAAGTAGAGGAGAATGCATGGATGGATATAGTATTGAGGGAGATTAGAGCAGTTTAGGGTCTACCTTGTTATGTTTCTCTGCTGCCCTCTAATGGTGTTAATATGTGAAGCAAGAGTTTTCCTTTAAGTAAATCAGTCAGTCAGTCAGTCAGTCATTCAGTCTGTCTGTTGTGCCACTTGATCTATTGAAATCACAAAAAATATATAGGAACATGAAGCATTTGTTGCAACAGATTTAACAAATAACAACTTGTTATTTGTGTATTGTGATTGCACCCCTGCCAGGACTGTCGTTCTCAGCACTGTCAATGCAGTTCTGAAACACAGATTTCTCATAACACAGACTCACCTGTGCAGAAGACACTGAAAATGCCACAAACATTTCACATATGTCAGAACAGACAAAATCACGAATTAAAACCTGTCTTATTTAACACACAGATACCAAATGGCATACTACTTTTATCAAAATCTTACTGACTTACAGTTACAGTACTGAAAAGAATATTTGATAAAGCGTACAATGATTTCAGACACAAAAATGAAATATGTAAGGATTTATATAATACTTCACATAGTGTTTTTACTGAAACTGGGAACTGGGAGAAACAAAATGATTCATGTGAAACTTTGGTCTTCTACTTCTTTTTTTGACTGCTCCCTTTAGGGGTCGCCAAAGTGAATCATCTGCCTCCATCTTGCCCTCCTCTCCCTCTGCATGTGTTCCTTCACTACATCCATAAATCTTCTTTGTGGCCTTCCTCTTTTCTTCCTGTCTGTTGTGTCAGTATATCCTTTATCCTCAGGTCCTCCAAGGTATGGAGGCCTATCTCCCCCCACCACTTCCTCTACCAGTGGCAGACGCCCTCAGACATCGGTGCATTGGTGGTTCTTTGTGTCCGGGGTGGGCGTCCAGGTACACACTGGCTCACTCCTTGGTGGCTGCTTGTCGGAGCCTGGAGCCTGGGGCTCGCTCGGGCCACTTCGGGGGTGGGGTGCCCTCGGCCTCTCGGCCTGGGGCTCGGTCACTCTGGCACAGCTGGCTGCCGGCGGAGCTCACGGGCACGTCACTGCAACCCCCCCTGGCTTCTGCTCCGAGGCTGCTGAGTGAGCCCTCATCTGGGACTCTCCTCAGCTCTTTCTGGGACAGTGGCGCGGCTGCCCCTCTGTTGGTCTTCCTTGGTCTCTTGTGTTCTGAGGGCCTCTGAATGTCTGGAGTCTTGATCTCCTCCATACCTGCTTCATGCCCTGGAGGACGGGGCAGTGGCCCCCCCACACCCTCTAGCAGATCATTACATGAAGGAACCTTTTAAATACAAGCGCGTTCATGCTCACAGGTGTACACACGGGTGCTCACACACACAAACTACACCCTTTTTGGCTCCTACCTCAAAGCACACTGTGTGCTGTCGATCTTACGTGCTGCACAATAATGTTTAGTATTTACTGTTACATTCACATAGATCATCGTGATGTTGTTTATTATGTTGCCCTTTTTTCTTCTTCTTCTTGTTTTCTCTTTTTTCTTTCTCAACAGGTGATCCAGGTGATTGATATATGTATTTTTTGTTTTTTGTTTTTTGCCCTTTATCCCCGTCCCTCTTCCCCGCTGTTTTTCTTTCCCTCTTTCTTTTCCCCAGTCAAGTCTGTCCCGTATTTAGCAAGTGAAAATAAAATAAACAATAAAAGGTGAATCAAATAGACCAATACGGCAAGGCTGGGATGGTCCATTTGGTAAAGTAAATCCGTTGGGCATCTTTCTTCGCCTTTAGACAATAATTCTGATGGCAAAAGAGCAAAAGAAAAAAAAAGTCTATCCTTTATCCTTACTCTGCACATATCTAAACCTTCTCTTTGTCTTTCTATCTTTGTCTCCAAACCGTCTGTCCCTCTGATGTGCTTATTTTGAATTTTGTCCATACTGGTCACACCCATCTTAGGATCTTAAACTCTGTAAAACCAGCTTGGCCTTCTTTCTTTTTGTTAGTGTCCAAACCATTAATCATAGCAGGCCTCACTACCTTCCTGTACACCTTCCCTTTTCGTCATACTGATATCCTCAGTCGCATATTTCTCATGAATGTGAATCAGAAAAAAATATATATACCGCATATACTTGTGTTTAAATAGCACTGGCATGAGATGCACATGTGCCACAAGACTGAGAGTATGGGTTTCTATTTGTTTAACTAAACCTCATTAAATATAACTGTAATGCCTACATGAGCTTGTTGTTGTGTTACAAAAACCCCTTTACTTAAAGTGCTATCCTTGTGCTCCTTGCTTGCATTTTTATATTATCTAAAACCTACTTTTACATTACGTCAGCTAATCTTATTCTTATTTAGGTAAACCAAACAACAGGTAAACCTCTCAAATAATAATGCTGGGACGTCACTGTAAAGCACAACATCCACCAGGAGGGGGTGCTACAACACAAAACATTTTCTTGTTTCTGTGACCGTGCCGTGTTTATGAAACTGTTATGACTTAAACACATCCACAGACTCTACTGTGAGTACAGCTGAGGCTTCTGAAATATGCTCCAACCCCCAAATTACAAAACCTCAAAATAGTGTTCCAGGGAACATTTCTGCCACATACATTTATTTTAAGTGCATAATAACATTTGCATTGCATAACTCATGGCTGGACCGCCATCCAACCTCAAGACTTTTAGTGAAAGAGTTTCTTTCCTGCCTAGATACACAAAAGAAGGGGCTGGATGTTTACAACACATGCAAATATATTTGAATAATCGTCTTTGTTTTTTACTCAAGAGTGACAAAATATTATTGTTATTATAAAAATAACATTTAAACCTGCATTCAAAGGAATTCCAGTGTAAAAAAGAATCCGTCCTTTCTTCCTGGCATCTTTTATAAGTTCATAAAGCTGCTCAGCGATGGAAATATGTGGATAGCAGTTTCCATAATGAACACCACCATTTCCACTGCCTCTAGCTCCAATATAATTTAATAGCCGTTGTGGTAATTGAGCAAGTCTGTTAGGTGTTATGTGTTAATGTGTCTTAATTACAGAACCGACTCACGGGGCTTTCTCTGTGTGGCACGGACTAAAAGGTAGTCTGATATAAAAAGAAAAAGCTCAGAGACATTAAAAGGATAAGTCCACACGTTTTAATAAATTCATATTAATGATTTCATTATTCAGAGCAGATTGGACTAATATTCTGGTCTGGAACCATTTTAGCATAGAAAACAAATGGATTTGGAGCTAATGTTTTCATAATGAACAAGACTTTTTCTTCCCTCCCTGTCTCGTACAAGCTCAATCTAGTTTGCAATATCTTTCAGACAAGCTGAAGTGTGGAATAGATTTATGCCCACAAAAGGCTGATAAAGTCCTTATCTGTGATTAAAATTCACTCTGCTCTCATCGTTAATATGCTTATTAGATTTTTTTTCTTCCTTTTATTTGATGGAGAGATTATTGCCATTTGTGTAGTGGTGGCATTGTGCCTTGTTCCGCTGAAGCGCCGCTGGTATCGTCACACCATCGACTCCAAAAGTCTCCACCCAGCATGAAGTTTAAACGTGGTTGCCGGTTTGCGAAGCTGAAACTTTCAGAGCTCCTTTATGTGTCACAGAGATCAGAAAAGTGTGTTGGGCCTTTGAAGGAAAGTAGGTGGAAAAGACATACATTTCTGACCTTTAAAGGAAACACTTCATTGACCTATGAAGGAGTGTGTAGTTTCTCTCCGCAAACCTATGACAATCATTTTGGCTGGGCCTTTCAGATCTGACCTTTTTCAACCTTTCATACTGAGGTTTTTGATTGTTAGTTGAAACCAGTTGGCCTCATGGTTATGGAGATGGATTGGACTGGATCACAAAGGTTACATAACAAAAATCCAGCAGCTGTTCCATCGTACTGTAGACAAAAATGGGTGTCGTGTTTCTGCTACTTATCTTAGTCCAAATCATGGGGGGCAGCAGTCTAACAATGATTTTCTTAATAAGTCAAAATTTCTGATTTCCGAGTCAGAATTTAAACCTGAGTTTGGTTGGAGCAACCCCAAGTTAACAATCCAAGATGGTGGCAGTGAACACTAAACACTATTTATGTCAAAATTCTAATCTGTAATGCCAATATTGTGTATTTATGACTCACTAAAAAAATTAATTTACAGAGTCCTGACCATGCTATATCTATGAGTGTGCTGCAGCTGTGTTTTTAAGTGCAAAAAATGAATATTATGCTGTTTTGCTAGGGATATCTGAATGGCTCTACCTCTCTAAAGAACCAAAACAAACCTTGTTTTTCTCTAATGCGCTAATTTGGGACTGATATCACTTCCAAGTTTCAACATCCAAGCACCAAGGTAAAGGGGGGAGGTTCCTTTTGACATGGAGCAGCAGTGACTCTACTGTGAGTCCCTCTTCACTGACTGAGTTCCTCCCCCAATCCTTAAGAGAGAGCCATTCTAGGAATCTCATTTCTGCCACTTCAGTTCAATTCAATTTTATTTATACAGTGCCAAATCACAACAACAGTCGCCTCAAGTTGCTTTATATTGTAAGGTAGACCCTACAATAATACATATAGAGAAAACCCAACAATCATATCACCCCCTATGTACAAGCACTTTGGCGACAGTAGAAGGAAAAACTTCCTTTTAACAAGAAGAAACCTCCGGCAGAACCAGTTGGTTCCATCTGCCATGATCAGTTGGGGAGAGAGAAGGAAGACGGGATTGTATTTGCCATCTCATTTCTTTGGTCCGTACCTACAACTCATGACCATAAGTGAGAGTAACAATACAGATTGACTGGTAAATTGACAGCTTTACTTTTATACTCGCTCTTCACAATAACAGACTACACCATACTGTGTGCCATCAGCTCTACTCTTCACTTACAAGATTAAGATACTTAAATTCCTGCACCTGGGGTAGAAAGTAAATTGTTTATGATAAAAAAATGGGCTCTCCAACCTTTTTTTCTAGCTGAGAACTATGGATTCATACTTGAAGGTGCTAATTCCCGTCCCAGCTCCTTCAGACTCCGCTGCAAACTGCCCTAGTGCGAGCTGGAGGTCAAGGCTCGATGAATCAACAGAACCACATCATCTGTAAAAAGCAGAAACAAAATCTAAGATCATGAATCCCATACCTCTTTTCTGTGCCTTGAAATATTTCCATAAATGATGCAAACAGAAAAAGTTTGCTTCTTGCTGCTTTATTTCTTCTTTTGCTTGGACTTTGAAAAGAGCTACAAACAGATGCATTTAACACAAACTACTGTATTACAGCCTTATATGTGGCATGTAAAGCTTTCAATGACGTGGATATACAATGTATATATAAAATATATATGCAATACAACTACACACCACACTGTCTCACTGACTCACATACATTTATTAAGTCACAACATATTATTTCTGCTATGACACTCCCAAATATGCTGCTAGTATTCAAAAGCCAACATTTAAAGAGTCCTTAAACATAAGCTTGTATAGCATTTTCTATAGTTCTGTTCAAAGTGCTTTACAGGTAGCTGACAAAGTAAGACTGTAGAACTTTAAGCAGTAAAACAATAGGGGACTAATGAACAGAAAAGCTATGCAGAAGGAGGACAATAAAATCTAAAATCATAAAATAGACACAGGACAATAAAAACATTTTAAATCAAAACAATAAATGTAAAAACCTCCATTAACTGGAGCGAGGAGCTAATCAGAAGTTAAGTGAAAACACAGCATTTTTCACTTTATTTTACTGCTGTTTGAATAATTTCAGCATTTTTGAATACCATTCATTATTTTTTAACTGTAAATCTAATACTTTTTTACATGGTAGATGTAGAACAAGACATTTTTAAACTAAAACACTTTCCCCGACTCTCAAAAGTTACTCTTCTCAAGCAGACAATGGCAACACAAGAATTGTTTGAAGACTAATTTAATCCAGCGTGCTTGTCTTCAGTGTTTTCCGACTCCTGATTTCTGACTTGCTGACTTTCCACTTAGCAACTCACACATCCTCTGGAGTGTTATGTTACTAAAAGGAGCAAGTACAATTTAGTGTACTATTTAAGTATCCATTTGCTGATGAGTTATAATTAGTTATCACTTGGGGCTTCAAGATATAATTAGTGCATGTATTTATTGAAAAACGGGTGCTTTAATTGTGCATTGTGACAATGCATTCATGCATTGGGCACACTGCAGTCCTGTCATTCAATCAGATATAGACCCTCTGCTTCAGCCTTTCTTTCTCCTCATCACTGCATGCTGATTTTCATTTCAGTGCTCACAGCAGGTGCCAAGGAACCAACTCCCGACTTAATGTCGGGCTCATTTCCCAGGTCAAGACTTTATTGATTGATATAGAGTACAATTACATAACCTGCTATGCATATCCCCCCACCAGTTATTAGTATAATTTCCTTTATTACGCCCTCTATGAACTCTGAGGCAAAGTAACGGGCCACAGGCTCGGTCTGCCTCTTTCACCTGACTGCTGAGTTTTATAGTACTGACCTATGATTTCAAGGTGTCACAGCTGCCAGAATAGTTTAACTGTGACAATTACACGATTTGAAATGACAGTCTTTTGTACTTCTTATGTCTTGCTGCCAGTCTTGTCACAGCTTGCCAGATAAGATAAGCTCTGTGATGAGAAGTAATAATATCAGATCAATATGTTCTGTACCTAATGTTCTCCACAGAGCAGGAATCTTCAAGCATGTTCTTTTTTCTGCTATCAAGTAAAAATATCTGCTGTCATAGTGGAATAATCATATTTATGTTCGGGTTTGGACACTTTGGAAAAGGCTTTCCATTTCTCTCTGAGATGATCAAAACAGATCAGATAGGTTGGCATTAAACCAATTACAGCGGTGCTTCTGTAGTGCTGTCATCATACTTTAATTTGGGTTAAAATCACATCACTGGCATTTTTCTGACGCTGTCGGTAGAAAAGAAACACATATTCAGACATTTCTTGAGTACATTTTTTACCCTTACAGAATCCTGGGGAAATTTTTGCCGTTATGTTTTTGGTTTTTTTTCGTGCTATTTTGGCTTTGCTGAATGAATATAGCTCATATTTGCCAGAGGATTAAAAAAAAAAGTAGTCTCTGTTCCTTCATTTAGCTTAAAATGGCTAAGCTACACAACCTGCCCCATTGAAAATATAATTTTTAATCTCACATTTATCTGGACTTTAACTAATGTCGACGGGCTTGGAGATGCAAGTGAACAGCTGTTCTACCTCTAAAGGTGCCCCTGACAGTAAATATTTTACATGCAGTTCTCACTATGGGCAGTAGAGGTTGTATCAATTCATAAAGAAACCACTGTTTCATTTAAAAACAAAAAACAAATGTCTGATACATGCAACACAATCTGTCTGTTCTCCTCTGCTTATCCAATTCAGGGTCATGGAGTAGCTGGAGCTTATCCCAGCAACCATAAGACGAGAGGCGGTGTCCAGGTCACAGTACAGGTGCCTGGACAGGTCACCAGCCTGTCACAGGGCTTACACAGAGAGACAGACAACCATTCATATCTATGGGCAATTTTGAATCACAGTCTTTAGTATGTGGGAGGAAACTCAAGTGAAACCCCGAGAGCATCCACTGGGAAAACATGCACACTCCACACAGAAAAACTCCAGCCAGTTGGTCCAGTCAGACCCAGGACCTTCTTGCTGTGAGGCATGCTAACCACTGTTGCCACCGTGCTGCCCACAACACATCTGCTTGTTTTCTTGAGGTGAGAGTTTAATCAGGAACGCATTTATTTCGCTGTTTACAGACAATGTCATGAAAATTTTCATTCCATCTCTTTTATGGTTAAAGCGTCATTTGATTTACCCGAGTTACACCACATAGATTTACAAATGTTTCTGGGTAGCTCAAAGCCACTATGCTTTAGTTTTCGCCTGTAGCTGAAAGTCGATGGGCTCACTTATTTCAACACGCTGTGACAAATTTTCTTCTTCCACCGGCAGATATTTTTCCACTTGCAAGAAAAGTGATGAGCGAAACGAGACTCAGTAGTAGATCAAGTGATTAACTTTGGCTGCTGGATCACCCGCTTCTCAGTTTTTGCTGCTGTTAAGTATAAAACATAGATCAAGCTTCCCTGTGAGCTTGTCTGTCTGTAAGTAACCATCACTATGTAAACACTGCTTTTCATTACGATGGATGGGTGTGGGCACTGAGCCACTGGTCTGTGAGGTCTGTGTTATTGTGGTGAATGGATGAGAATACAGTTTTAACACACACACACATACACCCCCACACACACACCCTTTTATGAGTCATTCAGTGTCTCTGTTTATTTATTTAGCTTTTGGTCATACAGGGAGTGTTCTTGTCAGCCAGAAACGCCCAAACGCACGTGAAGAAACATGAGGATTTGAGGACGGGTTCATCCCAGGATTCATCCAGTTGCAACAGCAGGCATATTTTTAGCTCTGCAAAAGTCAGTATGGCACAGAAAGGCAAGTAGGCAGACGTATTGACAAAAAACATTTAAAGGTCAAAACTTAGGGCTGGATAATTATATTATGTTACTTTTTAACCTGTGATGCACAAAACATTTTACACTACTCTAGCTCAGGAGTTCTCAGAAGAAAAGATTCTTAAACATTTAGACAATTACAGGAATGAAAACTAATCAGATGATTGATTGAATGACATAAGCAAAGAAATGACTTAGTTGGCTTTGATTTTGTGCTGTTTGCTGTATTTAAGTGAATGATGCAATAGACTCTACATAAGGAACCCCAGTTTCTTTGAAAATTATGAAATAGTTGCAAAACGCAATCTATTTTGTCATGTACGTGGACATAAATTCTTCTTTTTTCATTAGACTCAGCACAACTGAAACTGTGGCATTTAAACTGGAAGTATGTTGGACTTTTAACCCCCAAAATCTAGAAAATGGCGTTTTAAAACCTACGCTAAAGACTACAGTTTAACTGTAATATCTCTGAATGAAATAAGAACATGTTTATGTCCATGAACACAAATAAACAAGAGTATTGTCTTTTTTTGGGCCCAAGCACGTGGTTCAACAGATCGTGTAAGTTTTCACCAACTGCTCTGGGACTGTTGACGAGCACCAGTATGTGTCAGTTATCCAGACACATACCGTACCTGTCAGGTCTCTAAAGAAAGCGCTACCAAACACAGGAAAATTACAAATAAAAGTAAATGAAAAATAAAATCAGTACACAATGGAAAGAAGCCATAGGAAAGCATGTGTAACCTTTTCCACTAATAGGAAAAAATGTTACTCATACTTCCTCATACTCACACACTTTTCGCTTTTTTGTTGTTCTGGTGAGATTCATGTTAACACTTGCATGTTTTGGGGAAAGTTTTCATTATTGCCTAGACATGAATTATGGGTTCCATCATTTCTCTTTTGAGCTTGTATGACAAAAAATGGGGGATATCAGTTATCATTTTCTAACATTTTTATTCTCAACCTATCATAACAACTTCTCAAACTGCACAGTTGTCATTTGTTGAAAAACCTTTTCAACCTCTGTAATTTTAGAGCTATTGATGCCATATTTAACAAAAGGACAATATTAACTTTATATCAGGCAAACCTATAAACACACACAGGCAAACAGGTTTCACTTCCACTGTGCTTTGCACATTTGCTCTCTCTTTGCAGTCCACAAGAACTTGCACAATGACACACATTCCTGCATATACCACTAGGAAAGACAAATCTATCACAGAAAGAGACAGAGAAGCTCTCGTTTTATCTGTTTCTCTCACTTCCTCACATGCCGAAACCATCTTGCAGAGGTGTGGACTCGAGTCACATGACTTGGACTCGAGTCAGACTCGAGTCATTAATTTTATGACTTTAGACTTGACTTGAAAAAATGTTCTAAGACTTGTGACTTGACTTGGACTTTTACACCAATGACTTGGGACTTGAATTGGACTTGAACCGGTTTACTTGAAAAGACTTGATATTTTACCCCAAATATAAAATTTAACATGCATATTATATGGAGATTGAAAATGTGACGTCATTCACGGGTAGAACCGCAAAGGATTCTGGGAACTCGTGGCAAGCGGTACTAGCGCACGC